GAGGCGATCGTGGAATCAGCCACGGGGAGGAGGAGGAGGAGGAGGAGGAGGAGGAGGAGTGGGAGGATAACTTTATTCGTACGAAATCCTGGCGGAGAATTTCCTGGCCGTGCTACGTTGTGCAGGATGGGCGAAAGGCGGGAGGGGAAGCCAGGACATTGTTAACAGCATTGCTGCCTAATTAACCGCAAACGCTTTCAGTGGGTTTCGCCTGGCCTATTGTTTACATGCGGGCACGCCGCCTCTATGATAGTCCTCGACGACCGTACCAGCTGAAATATTTCCATGGAGATTCTCCGGCCGCTTTGTGCGCCGCCCCCTATCTGGATCGGAACGCCGGAAGTAACGTCCACTCGTGGCGTTATTCCGCGATTTTCCATACGACATGGTATACACGGTCGCTCTGGATGGATGGATATTTTCCAGGGATGGAAATCTTCGAAGATATTTTTTCTTCCGTTTCTTTTTTTGCTTCGAGAGAGGATTGTTATTGAGACACGCGAGGAATGGATGAAACGAGTGAATGCGAGTTTGCTGGAAGGGGATGTAGGTTAGGGTTTGATTGAGGGTTTCGAAGAGAAATTTTATTATCGTATTACAAGGTTTACACAAGTGTTGAACGATGGGCTTTCGAAATTGTTTGAAGTTTTTATTCGCGAAATGTATTTGCGCAATGGGAGAATGTCGATCATCGATTGAAGAGATGTTGCAGTTTATAAAAATGAAGAATCAAAATTTGAAGTAGATTTCGTAAGTAAAATATTTCAGGAAAAAAAAATGTAACGTTTCTAATTGATATTCCGCAAAAAGTTTTTCACTCTGTGAAATGGTAAACTATATTAATCTCTTAAATTATGTCGAGAATTTTTATATATTATTTTCGGAGTAATATATTATAATAAGAATACGAGGTTAATATATTAATATAATATAATAAAGGATAAAAGGTTTAATAATGTTCGAATATAATAATAAAATAATGTTATGCACTTTCAGTAATGAACCGTGACACTCGAAAGGTTAAATGATAAATTTAATTTTTTAATACGATGTTTTATACTACGAGAGTACCGCATAATTCTATAAAACTCTGCTCGAAATATAATAGAAAAAAAATTCGACGATGATACTTGTAAAAACATGGTATATAGAATTCTCGATTCGACACGAGATGAAATACAAAGTGACACCATTCTACAAATTGCAATCAAGCCGATACGTAACACGAATCGCATTGTCATCAAAACAATCCAAATTATCCGACCCGTTTTGACACAGACGACCTGCCAAACAACGTTCCGCTATCCACCACGACAAATCGCAACGAAATAACAGATTAATTACCACCGGTACCCGGTTGCTCTCGTATCGAAACAAAGTATCGTGGTCTGTCAGAAACACGGCCACACGTTGGGTCAGCTTTCATTAATTTTAATTGATAGGAAAGTCTGTGCAGTGTATAGAAGAAAAAGTTGGAGCTCACCTATAAAATCTAAGGTTTCGTTTCGAATTAACCTGTTAACGAGAAAATCAAGAAAATTATATCATAGTCGATGAAAGTTTAATGTTTAATTACCATTGAATTGTGAGTGGTAATAAACTATTCGTAAAAGTATGATTTTTCAATCATCAGATGATGAACATTTTGTTATTTTTATTTTATAAATAGCGAGAAAAGTAAATTCATTCTCGTATACATGTAAATAAATTATTTTTTAATCTAAAATGAAATAATCAAACTAACCTTTTTTCTTTTCGAATTTCAGCAAACGTACACCATTCTTTTTCCAAAAAAATTAAAGAAACCACGTTAAATAACAAAATTTAGAAGACACAGAAAAATTTCAACAAATTTCAAACAATTTTGAATTCAATATTACATAATCCATTCCATTGACAATGACTTATTACTCTCGGACGCAGGTATTATCTTTCAAACACATTTTATCTCGATTACCCAAATCAACCCCTCCAATATTCTTTCAAAAGGTCGTTGCGCATAACAAAATTTCAATTTTCAAATTTCAATTTTCAATCCAATACCACCAATAGCATAATCTAATTCCATTGACAAACGATTTGTTATTTCCAGATGCGGATATTATTCTAATTATCCTTCAAATAAATTTTATCTCGACGGAATCAACTCCCCCGAGAAATATTCTTTCAAAATCGCTCGGTTGGGCGCGTGATAAATAGAGCTTAAAAATGAAACTCCATCCAGCTAACAATTCGTATCACGCGAAGAATCCCCGCCCTGTACATAATGCGATCTTGTTATCGGCCCTTGCCCACTATTTTTAGCCGCGAGCATGGAAAATCGGGCGCGATGTCTGCTCACCAGGCAGTGGATAAAGCGTATGGATCGGGGCCACGTTCTTCCCCGGTTCTCGTTGAATTAAAAACTCGTTTCGCGCTACGAAATTATAGGTCACGTGGCCATCGTCGATCTGTCCACGGACACGGAAAGAATATATCGGAATGCTACATTCCCTTGCGCTGGAAATTTATTCAGAGGTTTCGTTTCGATCGCGAGAATTATAGGGTTAGATGGAACGAGATGAAGGGGATACGTTGCATCGTTTGCGTGTCCGACACAAGCATGAATAGTGGATGGAGATACCGTGAATTAGAGAATTTTAAGCAGTTTCAATATATTGTTTCTCGATGGAATTTTAATCGACTTTTTCTAAGGTATGTATTAGGAATTCATTTAATTAGCAAGGAATTCGTGTTAAAGAATTTCACGATATATTTGTTTGAAATAATAATATATTGGAAAGCGATTTCGCAAATAAGACGGTGTGATAATTGCTCGATAATTTAATTAAGTTTTTAATTTTTTGATTATGTATTCGTAAGTAAGTAAGTAATTATACTTATGTAACATGTTGTATATCTTAGTGGATTTTAGATAAAATTCGTGAAATAGGGCGATAACAATTATAGTTAGTAATAAAATAGAATTCGGGGATAATTCTCCAATGAAAAACGCAATAATTTAACGCGAACACACGTTCATTCTCAGTTTCCCTATTTCTCCCTATTTCTTTCACTCAAACAACTTCTCTAGGTCAAGTACACGTCATATATATTCATTTCTTGTTATCCTCAAACACTTTTCACTCGCTTCTCGCAAAATCCTAACACTTTGTACAACTTTGTACACACTTTGTACAAAAAACTAAAAAACTTACTTGACCCGTGAGAAAAAAATAGCTCTTCGATCGTAATCCTAACACTTCTTTGTTGTATCGCTTCATCCGTGAAAAAAAAACGAGGAAATGACAAAACATCAGAACACAATTCGCGTTACTTACTCACTCAAATGTTTCTCTGAGAGAATTGGAGAGAAAAAAAAAAAAAGAAATTCAAAAAAATCGAATGCATCGAATTCCATTGAAACTCACGCAGATACGAAGGTTAAACCCTAACAATAGCAACAGCAACATCGACGAAGTGGCCTGGAATGGGAATTGCTTTGTCGTTGTTCTCGACGACGACGTGGTACACATGTAAATGGGTCAGAAACGTGCGCCGATGATTAAACGCCGATTGCTCTCGCACACTGTACCACTCTATCCATCCTCTCTCCCTTTCACACCCCTCTTCCTTCCTCTCATTCTGTGCGTCTCTCGATATCAACGTTGAAAGCCATTATCGGATGCACGGATCGATATATATATAAATATAAATGATTATAAATAACTCGAGATCGATAGTGGGAAGAAAGAAAAAAAAAAGAAATCTCGGGTATAAACGGGAGAATCGATTTTCTCGTCATTAATTTATACGCGTCATTAATTTATACACATTTATGCACTGCGGGAGACGAAGAAACAGGGAAGACGGAGAACAGAAATCGGTCATTAATTATTCCTCAACTCGTATCGAAATATCTAGGGAATGGAAATATGTATGTTTTTAGAAAGAAAATTAGCATTTACACTCTTTAATATTTTTGAAATTATAATAGGATAATATGTTCCAATGTAGAATTCTTATAATTTCTGGTATTAATTATTAATCGAAACATTGAAAAAAAATTTTCTATTCTTTGTTAATCCTTTCTAAAGATTAACGTAATATGTAGTAAGAGTAATTTTTGTAATTGGATTGAATCGTTTTTAGGTAGAAAAATAATAACTACAAAAAAATATATATATATAAAATAAGTTTTTGCATCTTTAGGTAATTAGAATTAAATAATAAAAAGAACAATGACTACTGTATATATTATAAGGTATTTTAAAATATTAGTTAACCGAATACATCAAATTTATACTGATTTACCGCGAATATGAATCTTCGATGCATATTGCTTGCACAATTGGCCATTATCGAAATTGTAGAATTTCATTAATTTGAGAAATCGAGAAATGTACGTATAATAGGATATATAATATATTATTCCATTTAGAGACTTCAATCCAGGATTATTAAATATCTATATTATTAGACTATATCTCTAATAGATATACAAATAGAAAAAAATAACATATCATGCATAATTAGATACTAACTCTAAAATTTAAAACCATATTCTACTTTAATATCGCGTTCACAAGAAAAAGTGTATTTTTTGGAATAAAAAGAAATAACATTATCAAAGAAAATAACGATAAAAGATATTTTCTGCTTTTTCGTGTGCCAGAGAATAACCCCTGATTCCCATGATATAGATATAGAATATGCTATTGCACGAGAATATTCCCACTTTAAGGGTCGTAATAATTCTGCTCGTAATTCCCCAGGCTGAGACAAGACAAGGGCGGCGGTGCCTGGTGCCCGAAAAATATGGTCACGAAGGAAGGAAAGGAGTACCTCGAGGTGAATTTGCACAGCCCGCGTATACTGACGTCGACCAGGACCCAGGGCAGGTTCGGGAACGGGCACGGGGTCGAGTACACCGAAGAGTACTTCGTCGAATATTGGCGGCCGGGGTTCAACAAGTGGGTGCGATGGAGAAATCGACGTGGCATGGAGGTATGTGTATATATATATATATACACACACACACACACGTATATCTTCGATGCCTATCGATTCCAAACCGATTACCTATTCTACTTTTTCCTTCTTTTCTTTCGACCTCGACCTTCTGACCTTTCGAATATTTTTTTTTTTTTTCAAGAATACGGAACAGAAATGGAATTTTTTCGAGTAGGATTTGGAACAGAACCTTTTCTTTCGATCTTGCGCAATTTTTGAAAATTGAAGATAGAATTTTTTTTTATTTCAATTTCGATTTTGTGATCTAGACTCTAGTCTAGAAGCGTGATTCCAAGTATTTTAAATTGTGAAAATTATTATTAATTTAAAAATGTAAATTTATTTGGTGCACGAGTTCGTTTATTTAAAAGATTCGAGGAAATATAGGGGAAAAAGTTGTGATTGACCGAGCTTCATTGAATGGAGAGAAGAAAGTGGTAATGGATCGTCTATAGTCAGACATCCCTCTACCGTTAATACGGACGTTATATATTCCTGCAACTTTTAATACATCGTGGAAGTTATTCTAAGGAAGAGAGAAAGAGAGAAAGAGAGAGAGAGAGAAAAAATTATTCAGGTCAACTTCGAAACTATGGTCAAACTTTATAAGCATTATTACTTAAAATTTGTTTAATGCTTCTCGCCTAACTCTTTTAGAAGTGATTAAAGGCACTACGTGAGCGGTGGTTTTTCATAAGCTTTACCAAGAAATCGTGTTAATCGTAAGTGTGTCAGAAAGTTATAACAAAATCATAGGAAAGAACTTACTACTTTTCCACATTCGCGGGAATCTATATATTATATTCTCGAAGCTAGAAAAATTCATCGCAGAAATTGCATTGTTAAAAGTTTCAAAAAAAAAAAAACTCATTTTTTCATAAAATTCTTCAGAGAAGAAGAAAGAAACTGAAAGCTAAAACAAAATTTCGTATCCTCAAAAAATCTTCTTCCAAAACTCAATAAACTTTTCCCACAACAAAAACTTCTGAAAGAAGTTATTTCTTTCAGAACTTCGTAAATTTCAAGAAAGCTCACAAACGAATAAATTTCTTCGCTTTTGAAAAATTCTACCCACCCGCTATGACTTCCCCCCTCAGTCAAACTTTTTGATTTTACACATCGACGATGCCTACTCGCTTGCCCGCTCATCGATGAAATTTTCCCCCCCTCGAAAATCACCTTAATCGCACAGTTTCCAACCACCGAGCCCTCTCGATTCCCCTCTTTTTTCCCCTCCATCCAACTCCATCGGAACATCGTGGCCGACAGATTTTTATACGAACGACCAATTATAAAGCAATTTCGCGGCGAGAGGCAGAATTAATGCGGTGCCACTCTTTATAATTGCTCTCGTCAAGGAAATCGGATTACAGTTTTAGCCTGCCTCCGGTGTATGGAGGGAGAGGGGAGGCGTGGGAACAAAGAGGGCGCCGCCACGTAATTCTATTCTTTTGAAAGGGAAAAAAATCTGCGCGCGTATCACACGGAAGCTACGTTTCTCGATAGGCCCCCGAGGCCATTTTACAAACGATCGTCGATCGCCTCTTCCTCGTCTCGTCCAGTGATGGAATCAAGTTCGTTGCACGCTTATGGGTTTATATCGAATTAAAAGTGAAAGATTCGAGTAATGATTGAAGAACGAGTACGAGTATTTTTTGAAGATCGAATTTTTATAGAAAACGTTACATTCAGTTTAAAAAGGGTGTTTGGTATTCACAATATAGTAAATAGTTTCATTATAAAATGTATACACTGTTTCTAATTGGAGATTAAAAAAAATATTAGTTTTCATTAAAATTATACGCAATGAGAATTATAATAATCACTTTCAAAGACAGTCAAGAGGATTACTTTTAAACGAATGAAGAATTCCCAGCAAGAGACGCTCTTGTCTTTTCAAACTAATTCCATTTTAAAATTCTCTTTTCATTCGTACATAAAATTCGAAAGACTGAAAATATCCTATACTATCTTCGATACGTTATGTACAAAATTTAAATTTACATTTTGCTCGAACGATAAAACGGATCGTCTTTCGAAACACCACGCACCACGTACAACGAGTACATGAATCTGGTCCATCGACTCGCGTCGCGCTCGATCCCATCGCTAGCTGTGTGGGCCGGGTATCTATAACGTGTATCTGTACCCGGCCAGTGTAAGCGGCCGTTACAACGAGCGACGTGTTAATTAACGTCTCTTTAGCATGATAATCTGTACGCGATATCCATTAGCTCGTCAAAATACATCATGCCATGTAAAGCGATTTACCAGCGTCGATGAAATTACGAGGAACAGGCCTTCTCGTGCCGTCGCCTTAAATTACTATTATGCGCGCGTGCACACATGCCTATAACGGGTGCCTATAACCGACGAGGCGATGGCAGAGGACTCCATCCCTTACGGGGCCAGTCACGATGATAACGGGAATCGAGTTTGTACCCCTCTGACTCGAGTTGCCAATTGTGCGCGTTGAAGATTAGAAAATGACTCGGGGGAGGGAAGCGCTCGAATTATCGAGTTTTCCTTTACGAAATCCATTATACGAAAGGGTAGTTTCGCGATGTATCGATGTGGATATCGATCGATTCGAGGAACGTGTGTATTTATGTATTTTTTTAGGAATAAAGGAAAAGGAGAGTGTAAAATAATTTTTCAAAGTTTTTATTCTATGAAATCGCGTGAAAAATCGAAGGAGGTCCCCAGTGGCGGATATTGATTTTCGATAAATGCAAAAAAAAGGCGTAAAACGGTGAGAAATGGCAAAATATTCCGTTGCATTTCTTGGAAAAATTCATGACGTTACAATTTATGTAACAATAGGAAATTTCTATAAGATGTACGTCGTTCGAATGTTGAAAGAATAGAACTCGTCACGATAGTTTCAAAAAGAGAAACGAAGAGAAAATTACGAAACTTATTCTTAATTTGTATTCGTATCGAAGAAATCACATTTTCTTATGGAATTATCTAATATTTAAAAATAAATTGATCCTTCGTGAGTATTAATATAGAATTACGTGAAGAGACCTCTTTAAGATCGTTCACGAATGTTAGTTCTTCTTTAACATCGTCGAGATTCGAAACCATGTTAATCGCTATTCACACGAAATTTCCATTTTCGGATTACCGTCGATATGGCTTTCTCATAACACGGAATTTCTTATAGAGAATATTATTCGAGTTCTCTCTTGTTAGTTTCATGACCACACCTCGTGGGTTAATTCCTCGATGCTCTCTCTAGATTTTCACTAAAATACTCTCCCTTGCTCGCGTTACACAGGAACATCATAGACGTACCCACACACACTTCTCCCTTAAGACTAAACGAATTCTCCGGAAACTAACTAAAGCTACTGGCGCTTTAGACTGAAAGATACTGCGAAATGAGCTTGTTCTTACAAAACAACAACGCTTCAGAATTCCTTCCTCGGTCTTATTTAATAAAAAATTTTACGACTTTGCTACATCGCTTTCCTTTACGATACTTTTATATTACCCCGTGCAGGAACATTTTTGAAAGGAATTCCGTTTAAAAATAATTATTATTATTACTTCAACTTGTTATGCAATTCTTTTTATACATTTACAAAATAATAATTATTTTTTACTTATCAATTTAAAGAAAGGAATACTTTAATAGATATTAAAACCGTATAAAATATAAAAATATTATTTATCCAATATTATCCAATATTATCCAATATTAAAAATCACCGATAATGCTACTTACTTCTCATTGGCCAACTAGAAATTATAATGGAAAATCTCTGAAAGACAAGCATACGTATCTCGTCCAGTATCGGGGACGAGGACGTATCGCTTTTGTTCGCGGTCCAGTTTCATATCGGTAAATGGACTTTTAATGGATACTACACGGTGAATCAATCGCATTTGTTCGGCTTGCTCATAATCAATCGTGACGAACCATTTTTCTTTTCGATCCCTTTCCGTGTTTCTTTCATCGCGCTTAAACGATCTCCGTGCTCTCGAGCACGAATCGGCCATAAGTGAAGGGAACACCGTGGCGGAAGTTTCTCCATAGTTTCGTCTCACTTCGATCGGCAAACGAACTCTGCTCTTCCCTCCACGCTCCGCCAAAACCTTCACATGTTAAATCTCGCCCCGGAATATCGGGGAAAATTCCATTCCAGTATGCAACTTTCCACCGTATTCCGTATTCTCGTATTTTCAATTTTCTTTCAACGTTAAACGAAATTTTGCGATTTTTTATATACGATTCACGATTCTATGCATTTTTATAATTTATTTCCGTTTTACTTAGAAAAGAAACGATTTTGTAATACAGGATTCCAATTGATTTCCAATTTATTTTCCCTCAACTTCTGCTCTATCTTTCAAAGTTAAATCTTGAGAAAAAAGATAATATTCTTGCGAATATTCTGATTATACTATCTTCACGACATCTTCTTCTTCTAAAATACGATTAACAACCGTTGACAGAACAAAATTAAAGAATCGACGTTTCGTACGAATTTCCACATTAAATAATTACAATAATCTATGTAATAATAAAAATAAATAAAACAAAAAATTAGAACAGGAAACGTTCGAAATAAACGAATCCTCAACTTGGAAAATCTAAAAGCGGGACGTCGCGGAAGTAAAACTCGTGAAACTCGCGCGTCTCGATATTCTCCCCCTTTTGTTGTCTCTTCCACACACACGCCTCAGCTGAAGCGCACGTAACGTGTCCTCCATCTTCACGCAGATCCGCTCAAAGCGCGCTCTCCGCTTGGATCCGGTCCGCTTGGAAAGTGCGCGATAAAGTAAGGGTGGAGAGGAGGGAAATAAGGGATGCGAAGGATGGGTCGAAGAAGAAGGGTCGAAGGGTTTAAGACGGAGAAGGATAAGCGCACGTTTACCCTCTTCAGCTTCAATCTGGCCGGCGCGGCGTGCCGATCTTTGTGCATCCCGCGCTCCTTTTCCCCCTTGCAGTTTTGAATACGAGCAGGAAGAACGAAAGAGGCGCC